CCGCAGCTTTTCCCTGCTGGGAAGGAAAGGCGGCCTCCTGGGTTGGAAAGTTCTGCTTCTCTTGGATTTTTCTATTTATACTGATTTGCACACTTACAGGAACTGACTTCTGTGCCCTAGTTCGAGCATTTTCGCGTTTTCAGGTGATCTCTCAGAGCTAGGGTCTGCATTCCTGAATTTTGTGGTCAGGTTTATAGACTTCTCTGATTTTGCCCATAAAGATGCCAGGGTTTGTGGTACGTAGGAAACATTCTCTGGAGGTCAGTGTACTAGTTATCTTTTGCTGTGCAGTAAGTTGTCACAAACTTGGCAGCTTAAAACACTTGCTCTGGGTCTAGAGTCTGGGCATGGCAAATGGGGACCCTCTGGGTCTCTTAGGAGATGTCATTAAGGTGTCAGCAGGGGCTGAGATCTCATCCGAACACTCAACCGTGGAAAGATCTGACCTCAAGCTTCTAAGCGGAGGTTGGCAGAATTTTAGGTCCCCAGGGCGAGTTGGACTGAGGGCCTCCTTCTTCTCTGGCTGTTGGCTGCAGGCCACTCTCCGTTCCGGCAAATGTGGGTCTCTCAGCACAGCATCTTCACCAGCGCCAGCAAGAGCACCTGCTGGCAGTACAGAAGCTACACTCCTCTGTAACTTACTTGCACAATGATGTCCAATCACCTTTGCCATATCCTTGTGGTTAAAAGCAAGTCCCAGGTTACCACCCACCCCCCCACGCCCCATGCTCAAGGGAGGGGGCTTACATAAAGGCGCAATTACCAGGAGGTAGGATCGTTGGGAACCACATCAAAAACTGCTTCCTGTAGACGGTGGTTAGAGAGTGTGGCATAAAGGTTAAGAGGGAGGGTGACCGTGTTACTTCGAACCGACTTCAAATCTCACATCTGCCACTTACTGTGTAGCCCAAGGCAGGTCCTTGGCCTCTCTGAGCCCCCATTTCCCCGCCTGGACACCTCCCCCAGAGGATTGTCATGTTCCTAAAGGAGAGGTCACATGTCAAACCCAGCAGATGATAAGTGGTCGTTAATATTAACTACTGGTTTTTAAAAAAATCCTCTCCTCACCCTTTTTTAAAAAAAAATACCATTAGATTTTTGAATTTTATTTTATTTTGTTAATGTTTTTTATTTATTTCTGAGAGAGAGAGAGACCGCGTGAGCAGGGGAGGGACAGAGAGAGAGGGAGACACAGACTCTGAAACAGGCTCCAGGCTCTGAGCTGTCAGCACAGAGCCCGATGCAGGGCTCGAACCCACGGACTGAGATCATGACCTGAGCTGAAGTCAGACACCTAACCAACTGAGCCACCCAGGCGCCCCTAGATTTTTGAATTTTAGAAGAATTAAACTGAACTGCCCACTGGCCTCAGGCTTGGTTATTCATGTGGAAATTTCAGTACTTGGGTGGTGTCTTGGGCATAAAGCTGCTCCCAGCCCGGCCCTGGCCTCCCCTCCCGGGGCTCCGGGCCTCTCCCCACGCCGGAGCAGCCACGTGCCCTGCAGAGGCCTGACCACGGCCAGCCGGGCCGCGGCCACCAAGGGTGTGACCTGCTGGGTCCACCGTGCTCTTCTGACGCCCTGGGTCATCCCCACGGTGACCCACGATGGCTGGGGCCCCTCCCCGGAGCCGAGCGGGCAGACGTGGAGATGGGCGTCTTCCTGTCTGTATGTTCGCCTCGACCTGAGTCACGCCACACAGGTGACTCTCAGCTTTTGCTTATCCCTGGTCGGGAGGCTCTACTGTCTCCTGTCTCTCTGTCTCTCCCTCCCTGTCTCTGTCCACTTTGCTCCCCTCACTTCCTCTCTCCCGCGGGCCTCAGGGACACAGAGTGCTTGCAGGAGGCCACTGCACGGCCACACAAGCTGTGCCCGTCCTGCCCGGAGCACCCCTGCCTCACCGCCTCCCCACCCTGTGCACCCAGGATCCTCTTCTTGGTGTCCCCATAGTGCCCTTCGGGCCGGGGAGGAAGTCCCCGAGTCATTCTGTGTCCTTCAGAGTTAGCTGTGTCTTTCTGGAGGAGAGACGCCAGCCAGAGGGCCACTTCTTCCATCTTTTTTCTAGATAATTCTCTACGTCTAATGTACATATCTCCCCAGCTTCTTTGGGGATAAAAATCACCTGGAGCCCTTGTTAAAAACAGAGCTGCCCAGGGCGCCGGGGTGGCTCAGTCGGTTGACCGCTCAACTCTCGATTTTGGGTCCAGTCACGATCTCCTGGTTTGTGAGTTTGAACCCCACATTGGGCCCTGCTCTGAGATCGTGGAAGTGGCTTGGGATTCTCTCCCTCTCTCTTCTCTGCCTCTCCCCTGTTCATTCTCTCTCTCTCTCTCTCAAAATAAATAAATAAATTTTAAAAATTAAAAAAAATATAGACCTACCCATCCCCTGTCTGTTGAGCCAGGTTCCTGGCGGGTGAGGGAGGTTGGCGCTCAGGGTCTTGTATTTTAATCGAGGGACCCAGCTAACTCCACCAGAGGCTCAGGGAACCTGGTCTAACGGTGCTGCAGCCCAGAGCCGATCCCTCTCCCTCGGCGTGGAGGACACGAGGGAAGGTCTGAAAGCCGGGCCCTTCCCCAGCGAGGGCTCCCGCCCGATCCACGGGCCCTGCCCGCTTGTTCACACTTGGTGCCAGGGAGGCGCAGACTCAGCACAAGGCAATTATGGGTTTTTATTGGAGTATGATTGGCATATAACACTGTGTCAGTTTTAGGTATACAACGCCATTTGATGTTTGTATACACTGCATCATTTCTTTAAAAACCTTTACTGTAGTCGCTGCCCTTTCAATCAGCCCCTCTTCTTGCCTGTGCAAGAGAATTCCATGTGAGCAAGTGTTTTCCTTTGTGGTGTTGTGCTTAGATGATTAGCAAAACATGGTGCCGGCATGATCGTAGCACAGCTGGGAGATCCAGATGTCAGACTTCCCCACATGGACTTGATTAGCACGCTCGCCCCCCTCGCCGGGCCAGCCCCTCGTGACAGCAGATGCGGGAAATTACAGTGAGAATATTCCTTTGTTTCCACACCCCGTCCCCCTGCCGCTGGAAGGGTGTCCGTTTAGGAACGGGTGGGTGGGTGAACTTAATCACAGCTGAGGGAAAGCAGGTGTCCTAGGAGTCCACACCCCCAGAGGCCCGTGTCCTGCTCTGGGATCTAGAAGGGGAGTTTCGGGGGGCAGTGAGTGCTTCTGTTGGCTCTTCTGGAAAGCTGCCCTCTAGAAACAGCTGCACTGAGGTGGCATGAATAGCGTGCCCTTGACTTTTATTCTCCCGGAACAACAGTCATGAAGAACTTTCTACATTTGTCTCCAGCCACAGTTGATGGCTGGTGCTGATATTCATGGTGATAGTTTGTATTCTTTGCAGGAGCCTCAAGTACTAAATTGCTTTTCTAGGAAGAAGTTTCTCTCCTAAGCAGGAGCTTTCTTTCCAGTAATGAGCCTTCTATTGGGGGGACGGATTCAAAGCCCGCTTTGCCTAAAACCACTCCATCTAGAGACCAGACTACTTAAAATTCACTTTCTCTTTTTGATTTTAAAAAAATATTTTTAATGTTTTATTTATTTCTGAGAGAGAGAGAGAGAGAGCGTGAGCAGGGGAGGGTCAGAGAGAGAGGGAGATACAGAATCTGAAACAGGCTCCAGGCTCTGAGCTGTCAGCACAGAGCCCAACGTGGGGCTTGATCCCACGAATCGCGAGATCATGACCTGAGCCGAAGTCGGATGCTTAACCGACTGAGCCACCCAGGCACCCCCCTTTTGATTTTTTTTTTTTTTATCTGTTTGAGCGTCTTACTCATTTCTGTTATCTCTTTTGACATTGTCAGGATTTTAAAGATTTGTCTAAGTTACCTTTTGGTTTTGTTTTTATCTCTAGTAAGTGCTTATTACATCTGTAGTGTTTTATGAGTGATGGGGCTATCTTTACATCATGCTGGCTTTTCCCTCATCTTATTTTAAACACTTAAAGGATTTTTTTTAAAGTTTATTTATTTATTTTGAGGTAGGAAGAGTGTGTGCACATGCATGAGCAGAAGAAGGGGCAGACAGAGAGGGGAGAGGGAATCCGTGCTGAGCACAGAACCTGATGTGGAGCTCAAACTCACGAACTGTGAGATCATGACCTGAGCCAAATTAAGAGCCAGATGCTTAATCGACTGAGCCACCCAGGCGCCCTGAACGCTTTAAGGATTTTTGAGCCAGTTTGCCTGAAGACCCTTTCTTTAAAGTTAGGTATATTTTGTAATGAGGTTGTGTTTGATTTTACATTACTTCATGAGGCATATGCCTTAAAATATGAAATGTAGGATAATACATTATGGTTTTTATCCACCTGCCTTATTTCTTGATGCTTATTATCAAGATCGAATTAATTCTACACTCGTCAGAAAGAAACCTGGAGAGTGTGCTCATTTGGTTGATAGTCACACTAAAAATTTACAGGCATGCAGAGGGAAAAATCAACAACAGTGATACAGAGGCCAGGATCTCAAAAGAGATGGATTTCCTGAATGAAACTCCTAGAACTCAAAAGTTTATAAGTTAGAAACAAAACTGTAAGGCTCAGTCCATTATGAATAAAGCCATTGTTCATAAGATCCGTGGATTTGAGAAGTACTCACTAGAAATATAATAACAAAGTTGCAAATGGATTACAGAAGGCTAACATGGTGGCAGAATCCTCCAAAATAAATGTATTGCAGAATCCCCAGAATGCCAGCAGGATGTCAGAAAGAGCAGGGCACTCAGCAGAATGCAAGCACGTTGGACCCAGAGTGGCTTTGAAAGCGAAAAGCCCGTTAGGACGGTGGCTCGGCAGCCTCAGCGTGTGGGTCCGCTGGTGTCTCTTCTTCCTCTTATGTTAATCGTCCTCATGCATATGTATCTTTCCCAATAAACTATAAAAATGTCTGGGGGCTGCGGCGAGGGGGGGGCAGCAGTCATTAGTGACACATGAAGTCATCTTCCATCAGCTCACTTGCCTTTCTCTCCTCCCGCAGAGAACAACCCATCTTCACCACGCGGGCACATGTCTTCCAGATCGACCCCAGCACCAAGAAGAACTGGGTGCCGGCCAGCAAGCAGGCAGTCACCGTCTCCTACTTCTACGATGTCACCAGGAACAGCTATCGCATCATCAGCGTGGATGGAGCCAAGGTACCACCCCCGAGGCTGATGTTAACATCCTCGGTTCCTCCCTTCTCATCAGAGGCAGGACAGATGTGTTTGGAAGTGGAGGGGAAAGGATGCGCCCGGACCCTGATGCCTTAACACAGATGCTGCTGTTACAGTCATGACGCTGGTGTAATCACACATACTGCTTTTTTTTTTTCATTTAAAATTATGGTAAAAGGAAAAAAAAAAGATTTCTCTGTTACCACATTGGCTTTGTAACTAGTGTTTTAACACCTGTGTAATGACTCCTCTGAGGTCCTGTAATGTTCTTAATCTCTCCCCTTCTGGTTGCCTATATAAGTGGCTTCCGTTTTTATGGTTACAGATAATGAGCATCTTTATGCAGCAGATACTCTCATTCATTCATCACACACCTAGTGCTTTCTTTCCTGTGGATATTTCCTTAAGCTGGATTCCTGAAAGTTATAGGCTGAGATAGTAACTATTTGTGGCTGAGGATGGATGTGACCAAGTTGCTTTCCGAAGAGTCCTTCTTCTAGCACAAGAGTATTACACCCTGACCGGCCCTGGGTGTTAGATCTGGTCTAGTTTTGCTGGTGTTATTCCTGGAAGTTGAATTTTATTACAAGATTTGGTAGTATTTCTTGAAATACATTTTTTTCCGGATACTTGTATTATTCTGCTGTCTTCCTCGATATTTTGGCCACATGGCTGTGGGAGCAGGATAAAGAAGGCATGTCAACAGAAGTATCCCCAAGTTTACAACAAAAAAAGTAGATTTGATGCTTTGTGATTTTTTTTTCTGTCTCTAATCTGTGTTCCTCCCACTGGATGGTTTCCCAGTTTACATTATCTGCTGCACTGGAAATTCAGTCTGTCTGGGGACCTGGCTGGCTTAGTCAGTAAAGTGTGCACCTCCCCTTTTTTTAATGTCTATTTATTTTTGAAAGAAAGAAGAGAGAAGAGAGAGACAGCATGAGCAGGGGAGGGGCAGAGAGAGGAGACAGAGAATCCAAAGCAGGCTCCAGACTCTGAGCTGTCAGCACAGAGCCCGACGCAGAGCTTGAACTCATGAACCGTGAGATCGTGACCTGAGCCGAAGTCAGACGCTCAACCGACTGAGCCACCCAGGTGCCCCTAAAGTGAGCACCTTTTGCTCTTGGGGGTCATGAGTTCAAGCCCTATATTGGACGTAGAGTTTACTTAAAAAATTTAAATAAATAAAGTCACTTACTAAAAAAAGAAATTCAGTGTATCTGAAGCTGAGTTCCCCTATTTGCCCTCTAAAACACCTCTCCATTTTCATTATCAATCATTTGGGCTCAAAAAAGGAAAGAAAGAATAAATTCATCTCCTTTTTGGTTGGCTGAATGAATCTGTCTTCGAAGTGCCTCACATTTATGCTCTTTTGTTTTATGGCCATAACTTGTCCTGAAACAGTGTTTTTCTTTTAATGGAAGTATAATTAGCATACGATGTTGTGTTAGTCTCCTGTCCACGGCACACTGATTCACCATGTCTGCACTTATCACGAGATGCGGTCACCCTGTGTCACCAAACAACATCTTTACAATATTATCCACTGTATTTCCTGTGCTGCACTCTTCATCCCGATGCCTTATTTATTTTATAACTGGAAGGTTGGACCCCCTATTTGCCCTTATTTATTTCGTACCCCCTCCACACACCTGCCTCCCATCTGACAACCATCAGTTTGTTCTCTCTGTTTTTCGTTCATTTGTTTTTCACTTTCCACAGATAAGTGAAATCATGTGGTATTTGCCTTTCTCTCTCTGACTTATTTCACTTCGCAAAGTACTCTCTGGATCCATCCACGTGTCACAGATGGCAAGGTCCGTTCCTCCGTGTGCCTGAGTGACAGCCCGTCGCGTGTACTCCCCGCAGCCTCTCTGTCCGTTCACCCGTGGACGGACACTTGGGCTGCCTCGCGCTCCGGCTGGTGTGAACCATGCTCGGTGAATGTGGGAGTGCAGATTCCTTTTTGATTCAGTGTTTTTGTTTTCCTTGCGTAAATACCCAGTAGTGGAATTTTGGGGTTGTAGGGTAGTTCTCACTTAATTTTCTGAGGAACCTGCTCGCTGTTTTCCAGAGCGGCCGCGCCCATCTGCGTTCCCAGCGTGCACGAGGGTTGCCCTGCCCCACGTCCTCACCGACGCCTGTTCTTTCTTGTCTTTTTAATACCAGCCATTCTGGCGGGTGTGAGGCGGTATCGCATCGTGGTTGTGATTTGCATTTCCCTGATGATGAGCGATGGTGAGCAGCTCTCCATCCGTCGAAGCTTCCAGTAGCTTCTGAGCGGCCTCCCCTCCCCTGCCTACAGTGCTTCCCACCCTCCGCCTACAGGCCTCATTCCAGGCAGTCGGAAGCAGGGGGTTGGGGACCCCACTGGAGGCTTCTTTGTCTCTGGGGCCACAGGGCAGGAGGGACGGAGAAGCCCGCATGGAGGTTCCTCTAGGGAAGGTGTGGGAGACCCCGTGAGGCTCCTCGTCTAATCGAGTTCTGCCCTTAAGCCGCGTGCTCTCCGCGCAGTGGAAACTGCGGGTACGGCTGCCGGGCCCTGCGACCCTCTTCCTCTTCCTCTGGTTGCCACAGCCCTTCCCCCGACTCAGGACAGGAGCCCAGAAGTCCTCGTCTTCACGGTTGAGCCCCAGGACGGGCAGTGCCAAGTTCACGGGGCCGGCGAGGCTCGGCAGGCTGGTGCCGGCGCCCCGCTCTTCGGGCAGCTGGGCGGCCGTTGGGTTGAGCAGGCCGCCCCCCTGGCTGGTGGCGAAGCCTGTCCTCACATCAGGTCGTGCTGGCAGCGTGTGGTCTTCGTGGTCAGATCGCAAGAGCTGGCGTGGCGATCACGTCCGAAGGGGTTGCAGGGACTGGGTTCCTCATCTGAGCAAGAGGGCAAGACGCGGCAGGGGCCCGGTGAGCGTGGGGGAGTGGGAAGGTGCCTGGCAGTAGGTAGGCGTCTCGTGTTTGACGAGTGAATGTCTGAAAGGTGCCTATATTATTATCATCATCATCATCATCATCATCATCGTCATCATTTTCCTTCTGGGAGACATGGTGATACCACAGGTGTATTACCCTTCCCTGTGCTTTTTATTTTTATTATTTTTTTCTTCTGTGCTTTTTAAAAAAAATTTTTAAGTACTTTTAGTTTCTTTTATTTATTTTTTAATGTTTATTTTTAAAAGAGAGCAAGTGGGAGAGGGGCAGAGAGAGAGGGAGACAGAGGCTCAGAAGCAGGCTCTGTGCTGCCAGCCTAGGGCCCAAGGTGGGGCTCGAACTCACAAACTGTAAGATCATGACCTGAGCTACCCAGGTGCCCCTAAATTTTTTTAATGTTTGTTTATTTTTGAGAGAGAGTGAGAGAGCGAGCAAGTGACTGCGAGCAGACGAGGGGCAGAGAGAAGGGAGACACAGAATCCGAAGCAGCTCCAGGGTCTGAGCTGTCAGCACAGAGCCTGACGTGGGGCTTGAACCCACGAACCGTGAGATCATGACCTGAGCCGAAGTCGGACGCTTAACCGACTAGGCCCCCCTGGTCGCCTCCATTCTCTGTGCTTTTGAGCTAGAATCGCCATGACTCTTGCCAGGATGCTCTGAGGGGGCCAGTGAAACCAGCCCACTGTCTTTTATCTGCGGACGCTGTCAGTTCATCTGCTGTCCTTGAGCTGGGCTGACACTTCTGTCCTTTGTCATCCAAGGATACACTGGGCTTACATACAGATAAAACGACTTTTCTCAGAGAAAGTGCTTCAGTCCTATCAGCTGGGCTTTCAGGAACGTGTCGAGGCGTCAGCCGCTGTGCGGACGGCTCTGCAGCCCCCGAAGTGCCAGGACAGCGTGGCTGACGGTGGCGGGTGCGGGCAGGCGCTCCAGCTGTGGCTGAGGAGTCACGTGGGTGCAGGGGGGCCGGCCCCCCGGCTGCAGAATGGAGCCGAGTCAGGCTCGGCGTGGGGGACCCGTCAAGTTACGGGGTCCCTCACAGAATGGGAGGCGTGGGGCCGTGGGGCACGGCTGGATTCAGAGACGGAGCCAAGGATCTAGGGCAGCCCCTCCGGTGCTGTGCCTGGAGCCCACCCAGGGCTCCCACTTTACCCCTGTGGCCCGACAGCCGTGACAGGGCCTGGTCCTGCCAAAGGGGGTGTCCTGTGAGGGAGCAGGCGGCCCCGGCTAGCGGGCGTGCGGAGACTGTAGTGCTGTGATTACTGTGACTGGTCCTCGCGGAGAGGTGGGGGCGGGGGGGGGGCGCAAGCTTCCTGCCTTGAGAACTGGGACACAGGACGCCAGAGAGCGGTCACTGCTTTGTTTTAGGCCTTTGATCCCAAACGTTGATCCGAACGGAGGTGGCCGATGGGTCAGATGCGCTCAGCCTTTAGGACCGAGGCTTGGCGCATGGGTAGCTGGGCCTCGGGCCTCGGGCAGGTCTAGGGCTTGCGTCCTGCCTCTGACTGATGGCCTGGCCAAATCCGGTCCATGACCTCGAGCCGCTTGTTGGCGCTTGTCAGCCAGCTGTCCCTCCAAACCAAGGAGTAGACATGCTGGCGTGGAAGGGACTTGGAGGTCGCCGTGAGCAGAGGCCAAAGCAGACTCCGCCGCTGAGTGGACCGCGGCCAGCCTGCAGCGCGCTGGCTCCCCACTGAGGGAAGGTGGCGGCTGCCGTCCCACACAGGACAGGGCAGGTGCCCAGGCCCACCCCGGCTTTCGTCATGATCTGCTGGAGGAAGGACTGGGGAGGCCTCTCCTTCGCCTAAGAGCAATCGGAGCTTTTCATCACGGGAAACACCTGTACTCAGACCCATTCTTCGTTCTTCCAGAAACACAAGGCCTTTTCTTCTCGGGGGAAAGGCATTGTGTGCCAGCCCCACCTGCTGCTGAAGGCACGGCTGGGCCAGAGTCTCGGTGCGTCGTCTCAGCGTTGCTCGATTCTGGGGGTTACGCGGGTCCATTTCTGTGCGTGAGTCGCCAGGGCACTACACTCTGTCCAAGGACTGGGGACCAGGCCT